GGAGGGGGTGGAGCCAGTGGGAGGGCGGAGCCAGCGAGAGGGCGGAGCCTGCCAGCAGCTGGGGCAGAAGGTAGGGACAGGGCCCTACAGGGAGTCCCTGTGCCCCCCACGGCCCCCTTGCAGCTCCGTAGGCTCCAGCCACGCCTGGTGCCAGCAGCCTCCTGCTCCATCTCCGCTGGCCCCACCGCAGCAGAGGGGTGGATGGGCCGGTGGTCACCTCCCGCTGCCCATGCTCGCCCTCGGGGACTCTCCCCCGAGAAGGTCCTCAGCAATGCTTTCCTCCCAAGTCCTTGAGCTGGGACGATCCCGGTTTCCTCTGCCCCATGCCCTGCAGTTCGCCCTACCTTATCGCGCACTTAGACCTTGGAGCGAGCACAGGCAGCCCAGCCCAGAGGAGAGGGACAGGTAAGGTGCCAGCAGGGACAGGGGAGCCTTCTCCTGCAGCATTTTGGGGTGTGTTGTTCTCCAGAGCCCCTCTCTGCTCTGTCCCGGTTGCTTTGGCTCCATCCTGGTGGGTTTCTGGGCTCCGTTCCTCCATCCCAGCTGTTCCCCCTCTTTCTGGCCCCGCTACCCCCACCCCATGCTTTGGAAACTGAGAAATCAAGTCAAACCCAGCCCACTGCTCCTCAAGAACAAAACCCCGTTGGACGTGTCCCACCTAGCATGGTGCATGGTCCCCGGGGAGCAGAGGGATGTGCCAGGTTGCTCCATCCCCCAGCTTGGGGGGCTGGCTGTGCTGGGGAAGGGGGTCCCCCCGCCCTGCTGGGCCAACTCCACTCACTGCAGGGGCAGAAGGGAATGGGGTGGCTTTGTCCACTGGCCGGTCAGCTGCATCACCCAGCCCACGCTCTAGGATTTTACCCCACGGTCAAGTCTGGACGCCCTCGCCTGACCCAAGGCGAGTGGCATTTCCTTATCAGCAGGGCGGTGCTCAGAGCCTCCGCTCAGGATGAGTCCCCACGCGGGGCTGGTGAGCCGCCTGCGGGCAGCCTGGCTCTCGGGGAAGACGTGGCCCACGGAGCACTGCGCGGCCCAGCTGGAGGCCCTGGGACGCTTCCTGGATGAGAAGAAGCAGGACATCGTGGAGGCCACTGCCTTGGACATGGCCAGGGCGGCTGGTGAGGAGCGCTTCCCTTTCCCTTCCTTGACTTTCCCCCACCTCTTTCCTTCATTTATAAAACCATCTGTATCTCGACCCGAGTTGTTTTGGCTCTTTTTTCCGAGTCTCTCCCCATCCCGCTGTGGGGTAGTGGCAAATGGCTGGCTGTGTGCTCGGTTGCTGGCCAGGGTCAGCCCACTCCACCAGCGGAGCAGCAGCCTTTTTTGCTGTTACCTTCAGCTTAGCCTTTGGGGATGCCCCTTGCGGGGGGAACCACACAGCAACTCCCTCTGGCTGCAGAGAAATGGGATTAATTAGCTCTGGGGAAGCCTTCACTGAGAGCAATCGGGGCCCTTGTAACCATCTCCACCTCTGGAGCTGCATCTGGTGTAGCTGAAGCTCTTGAGATACCGAATCCATGTCTTCAACCACAACCTTCTACCGTGTCCCGGGAACCTGCTGGCATGGGGTGGCACGGGGCCAGGCAGCATGCTGCGATGCCAGTGGCATGATGGAGGGGTGGCTGTGCCACCCATCCTTGCAACTGCAAGGCCATGGTGTGTCCCTGGGGTGTCTGCCCCAGCAGAGACGGTCACATCCTGCTATGGCTGCCAGGAGACTCCGTGCTGACCTCTGTGAGGACAGCCATCGTGGGGTGGCCATGGGGCTGTGCCCGCAGCAGTGGCCATGATGACCTCCTGTGTGTCCCCAGCCACCCTTTGAAGCGGAGCTCTCTGAGATCTCCATTTGCAGGAGGGAGCTCAACCACACGCTCAACAGCCTGGGCACCTGGATGAAGGACGAACACGTGGAGAAGAACTGGGTATGGTGCAGTGGCTGGCCAGGGACACGCAGGATGCGTGCCATCCTTCCCTCCGCAGGCGACACAGATGGACTCAGTCTTCATCCGCAAGGACCTGTATGGGTGGTGCTCATCGTCGGGCCCTGGAACTACCCCATTAACCGCCTCTTGGTGCCCCTCATCGGGGCCATCGCTGCCGGTGAGCATGGACCTGTAGGGGTGTTGCTCATCGTCGGGCCCTGGAACTCCCCCATTAACCGCCTCTTGGTGCCCCTCATCGGGGCCATCGCTGCCGGTGAGGCTGGGCTGTGTCCCTGCCATGTCAGGGGGTACCAGAACCTCATTGGGGGGTGTCCTGTGTTCTCCCTGGGGTGAGAATGGGGGGATGGTGGTGGGGCTGCACTGTGGGCAAGTCTCCTGCTCCCCACGAGCGAGGTCCTTACCAGGAGGGAGCTCCTACCCTGCAGGTAACTGCATTGTCATGAAACTCTCCGAAATCTGCAGGAACGTGGAGAGGTCAGTGGCTGAGACGTTGCCCA